GTGTATATATAACCTTGTCCTACGTGATCCAGTTGGTACATAATACGATCTATATGCATTAACACTTTCACACCGTTTTTATTGAAAGCGCTCTGTTTGAATTAAAAACATGTCTATTGTATTACAACACCTGTATTGTCTATCAAATCAGTAGTGTTTTAGTATTTTTAGAAAACTGTTTTGGAAGTAACAAAATTAAGTGAAAAGAAATTAAACTATACTTTGGGACTCGAACTGGAAACTCGTAAATAAACATTATGGTATATATGCCAACAAGACAATCACCGAAGATGACGTAATTCAACGCATAATGAGATGGTCAAGACATTACCTCCAGGAAATAGTTTTATGTATTACGATGTTATGACGTATATTTCAAATATTTCATCAGTTGCCAACAGATCAGTGTTATCGCATCCCATGGTTATGGGAGAATTACTTGTATCCACTCTTATATGGTCTTACAAACCTATAAGTACAAGTTTGTACAATTAAAAATTCACGGTGTTGCTATCAGTTAGTAAGCTCGAGTTAGTAAGCTTGATGACGCAACGCTAGACAGGCTTTAATTTCCTGTGATCTAATCATTAGATTTATTTTTTTGTAGCTCTCATCCTATTGGCGGGCCGCAATGTTGAATTTCGTCTAATACAGTGATTACCACGCATCTGATAAAACATAACCATTTAACTGTTTTTGAGAAATGTAAATAATTAATAACAATAAATGTGGTTGCTACTTCTTTCTGAAATACCTTTCGTGAACGACGGTGTTCACGATGAACATAATTATAAGTTGTATGTCCAAGTAACTGGTAACTTGTGTTGTACGCACGTTTATTCAACGATTGAATTATATTTTCGGAAATGTATGGACAGGTGGCATACTCGTTAAAGGAACAACAACTTGGAACGAATAATGCATATTAGATTTTCTGAGGAAAGAAGGAAAGCATAAGTTATTATATGATTATATGATTATAAGTTATTATTATATTATATTGATGATATTGTTCCTCCGTCACGAAACGTGTGGAATGTGTAATTGATAGAGCCAGGGTCGGCATCTGTGTGCTACATTGTTATTTGCAGCTGTCTCCATTCATTTTCTTATGTGCAGGTTTCTACGATAACTGATTTAACTCAAGTTCATGTATTTACAGGTCCAGAAAATCTCATACTGTATAATTTCCTTGTCGACATGAGTTACCAAATACAATTATAAAAATGTTAAGCAGAATTTAACTGGGAAATGTAGTTCAATTCATGTTAATGGTGGGGTCATATTTTGATTTCCACATTACTTTTATAACAACAATTATATTTTACAAAACATATTTAAAAAATACTTAATTATTAAACATTTAAAGTGATTTTAAAGTGGGGACAAAAATGTGTTATAGTTTAAAACACTTACTTAGAATTACACTGTAGACACATACCTGTGTGGAAACTGAACATTCTACATATTTGTAAGCATGGGAGGCCTCAGCTAGTGCCTTTGCCTCTTCCGCTGTGATTGGTTTCATTTTATTCTGCTGCAGTTTCTCCACGGTAGCCGCATCCTCGCGTAATTCGACTTGAGTTCCGACCAACATAAAATGGGTTCTTGGACAATGTTTTTTTATTTCTGGAATCCACTAAAATGAAGTTGACAAATGTGCACTTCATCATTCCACGAACACTATTATTTGCAGATTCAGTTGCCACAGCTCAGAGTGGCAACGACTATTTTGGGAATTGGGTTACTAAAACAAAGGTGATCAAAAATGTAAATTTTCTGAACCAATGCATTCCAAAAAACGACATAAAAACGATATAATATCGTTGAGGTGTGGTGAAGCGTGGCTTGTATGCCCACTAAACACAATTCCGTGTATCGTGCATTTTTAAATGCTTATTTTGTTATAATGAACTAGAAATACTCGTATAAACTATACCTTGTATTTTACACTCTCAAACGATGATGGAGAAACAACAGAAAAACATACAAGTATAACGTCCGTCGCTGGGTATTCTATCTGTCGGATATTGTCAAGGTCTTGATCTGACATTTCTATTATACCAGGATCTGATTAAATAAAAACGCAAAAATTGCCCACAAGCAAAAATTAGTTTATGGCTGTTTAGCAAATATGCCTTTACAAAGTATTGTTCCAATGGATGGGTCAGATAAACCTTCAAAAATACCACATTACAGTAATTCATTTAACTATATACAATAATAAAATGTTACATGAATTGTTCCATTCACGCCATAGACCTGAATTTTGTTGCTCACCCATGTATCGTTGATAAATCCGAATACATAAACCACATGTGACTCAGGTCGTCTTTACGATTGACCCATAATGTTCTTTTGTGTATAGCTTATTAGTGACGGGTTTTCACAACGGATCCTAAGTGGTTAACATTTTTTGTAGGTTACATCAAAAGCGCATTTGTTGTGAAATCTGAACTGCAACATTGTGTAGTAATAATGGCAGTAAACACTCTTACCTGCTGTATCGTAGATTTGCAATTCAATATGACAACGACCATTATTCACCACCACATTAACTGCATAATTTTCAAATAACTGAAAAAAAAATGTGTCTGCTGTTATAAGCTATGTTGCAAAGAGCTTGTGATAGACACTAGTATCTGATTTACTTTACAAAAATCTTTATTTTTGTACAAATATAGATTGTTTGGTTTCGTTCCAGGTAGGAACACTTTGGTTTGCGTGTATTACGCTGACATAAAAGCTTATACAAGGAGTTATATTCAGTTCACCATTTATAAAGTGTAAATCAAATTGCCAGAGATTTGATATACTTTACAAATGTATCGATACACTCACACACTGTAAAATAAACACGTGCCCTTAACACGTGGTAACCCCTATTACTATTTATTATTGTCTTGTTAATTTTGGTCTAAACTGGCTCACAATTTTGGAAAACAAAATATGTTGTATTTAAGTATTACAAAACAAAAGCTGATCTTCAAAGAGTTGAAAAGTGAATGCAAGGGAATAATTATATCTGAAAGCTCATAGTCTACTACCATGACGATAAAGCACATTTGGAAACGGTCCAATTTCAAGTGTTCGTCTTCATAAATTATTACCAATCAGCGATAACTTGCACTGTAAACCTATAGATATTTATGTTTCAACTTCTTTAATCAAATTAATTTACAATGAATAAGGTAAAGACTTTTTTATTCATATTAGAAGTGAAAATGAAGCAATTGAAATAATGGTCTGCAAATTACGACGGTATTCTACACTTGCCGTTGCCATACTCCTTGAAATGCATTTATCTTTTGTGTATGAGAGAAAGAGATTGGTCCTGTCCGAATCGCTGTCCCCAACCATTACACATTTTTGAATCAGCATATTTAGTATATATCTATCTGAATGTAGATGTTGTATAGTGTAGTCTGAAATAAATAGAAGGAGAAGTAAAACACAAATATGTTTCAGCGACTCTATTTGCTGTCTACGTTGTATATGTACCTAAAATAATAAAATAAAATAAATACTGAAAATAATTAAACTAACTAACACAATTATTAACATGCGCCCGGTACTGTAATTAAGAAAAACACAATGGAGAATGTGTACACTTACAAAGGAATTGTATTATTCGCGTTTACAATGATAGAGACAAAACTAGATTTCAACTTCACATTAAACCATTTATCAGTGAAAAACGATTTAACAATTGGCCTTACTTCTATTACTTTTTGTTTTAAACATATTTATAACGATTGTAACATTGTCGCACATCAAAAATGTTTGGGTAGATTTTGGGTAACCCGAAAATAACCGAGAAAATTACGTCATAAGCCACGCCCATTGGCGCTCTTTTGGAACTGATATTTAGGGGTAGGGGAAATATAAATCACTGTATCTTTGAAATTATAAACCACAGAACAATAAAATACCCCTTAAAATGTTTGTATTTAAGTACTCTATTCATTCAAATAATCATTATGCAAATTAGAATGTTAATGCGGTCATTAAAGGTCAAAAGGTCACGAAAATCCAGTTGGATTTTGAATTTGACCGTTTCTTCAGAAATACCCTTCCAAATCATAGATTCATCTATTTTGACATTTGTGATGCATGGAAATGTTAGAAGAGATGCTAATAATTAATTTGATACACCTTTCAGGTCAATTACATGTCATGATATTAGTTGAAAAATTCCCTAACACTAGTGTTATACAGTATATGCCTAAGCGTAGTGTGTAATCTTGCTTGTGCCTTCTATTAGCCATTAAAATGTTTGCAACACTTTTGAAATAAAGAAATCATTATTCTCATGGTCTTTGGCTTCAATCTTTGCAAGAGGGTGGGAAAACAACAAATCTCTTTCAAATTCTTCGGAGGCAATGTGCTGCAGAACTTGATGAGAGAAACATTCTTAACCCCCTTGCTTAGGAAATTTTGTTTCAATGAAGGTAAGTCTTTCAGTTTAAATTTCCCCCAGATAATGGGTATATGTGGGTATATATAGGGGAGTTGTTCAGCACTGAGATCAGATCGGAGAGCTCGTTGAATTGTATTGGAGTTTAAGTATCTAGTTATTGGAGTAGTGGAGTTTTACCGCGTTATTGTGCTTGATATTTGCAGAGTATAATAATACCAGTACCAGTTGAAACCTCATCTGTTGGCTCCGTGTTCGTATTTTATCATCGCCGCCAGGGAAGTCTTTCTGTTACTGTTGCCATTTTGGTATTTGAACCATCACACCTGTACTATACCCATTACGGTAATATTACGTTGCGTGTGACATCTGGGGGCTCGTCCGGGAACAGTGAAGACATATAGAAGACAATATGGCCAGCGAGATGAAAGATATGTCGAAACAAGAGTTGATGGAATGGGCGGATGAACTGGGAATGACTGGAGAAGACAAAAAGAAATTTATTTTGGAGCAATTGAGTTCTCAGTGGGCTGACAAACAAGCGGCGAGGGAAGAGAGAAAGGCAAAAATGGAAATAGAAGTTTTGGGGTGAGGAAAATGGAGATTGAGGAAAGAAAGGAAAAGTTACGCCTGGAAGCGGAAGCAGAACAGCGAGAAAAGGAAAGGGAGATTGAGGAAAGAAAGGAAAAGTTACGGCTGGAAGCGGAAGCAGGCGAAAGAGAGAAATTGCCAATGGAAGCAGAACAGCGCGAAAAGGAAAGGGAAGCAGAGGTAAGGAAAATGGAGATTGAGGAAAGAAAGGAAAAGTTACGGCTGGAAGCGGAAGCAGAACAGCGAGAAAAGTAAATAGAAGCAGAGGTAAAGAAAATGGAGATTGAGGAAAGAAAGGAAAAGTTACGACTGGAAGCGGAAGAAAAGGAAAGAGAATTTGAGTTGAGAAGATTAGAGCTGCAAGCAGCAATGCCGGGGTTCCAACAGGCTGAATTTGGCGGTCAACGAAATGTTGTCAGTGATGCACAGTCACCAAAGTTGCCTGCATTTGTTGATGGTAAGGACGAACTTGATAGTTATTTATTGCGGTTTGAGAGGTTTGCAACGAATGCGAGTTGGCATAGAGATGGATGGGCCACAAAATTGAGTGCGCTGTTGACTGG